GGTAAGAGCCAATACGTGATCAGGTGTTGGAAGATTCGATAATGTTATTCGACTGGGAAAATATATTACATTTATGTGTTCGTGAAACGATGGGACATAAATGGTTGTTATCGAAGTTGTAATTGGATAGTTTCTTAAGGATTATGAAAACATTAAAGGAATGATGCCCAAGTTTTTTTTTTGCTTTTAATTAATTTTCGTAAGGAATAATAAAATTCTATACTAATAGGTATTACATAGATTGGTTCTTATTTTTTTCTTTTACTTCGGGTATACTTGTTATGGGTAAAGTATATTTTATACGAATTTTAAGTTCTTCGACCTCTAAATATCGCAGGAATACTATATATTGTTATTTGTTATATGCACATGTAATTCTGACCAGTTATTATAAAAAATATATGATTATAAAGAAACGAGGTAAAGAAATAAGTTAATATACAGTAATGAAACAATTATAAATTTTATAAACATTAAAAATCAATGTTTTATTGGTTTTGAATAACGATTTTGAGCAAAGAAGGACATGTGAATCATGTAATCTTATTATGTGGAGTATAACTTTTTGACTAAGATTTAATTTGTTTCATAATAACAGTTTAAATTATAACATGTATTGTATAATGTTAATATAATGTTAATATCTAGTGTATATTTCAAGACCCAACGATCAGATATTTAGACAAAAGAATAAATAATATAACTATTATTTAATAAAATTTCTTATAAATATTAACATAGCTCAACGAATTTCATTAAAATATCCAATTTCATCAAAACTTAATATTCCAATGCTCAAAAACACGTCATGGCAAAGCAATATATTTCATGTTACACTGTTACACTTCAAGGTCTTAAAATATGTGGGAAAATAAAAAATCGATAGAAAATGATTTTTCACTCAACTTGTGGAACAATGGATTTGACTTAAGAAATGAAAAACACAAAAATGTTATTATACGATATCTATTAATATTATTATCATTATTTTATTGTTATATAATATGAGATAATATAATATTGTTTTCAAAACAGGAAAAAATAACTATAACTGTAGTAGTTTAATTCTAAAATATCAACTAAGAGTGCTTTTTATATCACGTGCTATTAAAAGATTTAGAAAAAATGAATCCTTATTGAAAAATTGACGAAAACTATAGTACTTCTACTCGTATTATATATTGGCTTTGTATGTTTTTATAAATGATACCTAGATTACCAAGTTTAAATTAAAAATTCGGAAATTTATACTTTTAATTGAGTAACAGACTTTGCAATTATTGTTAACAAGCGATAAAGATATGAACTGAAACCGTAATGATTAAGTGGCTATTGTATACGGCAAAATGTTACAGGATACTATATCGTTAAATTTAAAAGACTGTTAAACAAACTTGATTACGTCGAAACAAATCTAAAATTAGATCAGCAATCAACAATGAAACTTCTAGAGGAACTGAATTGTTCAGAATCACTTGTATACGATTGATTAAGCTCTAGAAACAATGTTTTCAATGATTAATAAATAAAATTAAATTAAAATAAATAAGAATTAACATGTGCGAATGTATGCTATTATATATATATATATATACGTATGTATTTTAATTTGAAATGAGATAGAATATTAATTCGAGTAACTTGTCAGCATTATTTACTTGTTTATTTAAATCAAAATTCGAAAAGTCATAATTAATAAAAAAATACTTTCAATCCCTTCATTCTTTTGTCGTGTCTAGTAATCGGATAACTATCGAAGACCAGAAAATAATTGATACGTCTTTAGATTTTAAGTACGCAATTTAATATTTATAATATTACTCGCAATAGCAGAGTGTTTTCCATAATTTTAGAATATATAAGAAACCAAGTTTGTATACCGCACTGTCCGGCTTCCACTTCACATAAAATCCATAGGTGTGCGATCATTTATCAAAGTGATCCCATTTATAATTTTTATTTATTTATTTATTTTCATTTTATTGCCATTCTTAATAATATATTATTATTATTGCACAACCCGAGCTAAGGTCAAATTTCTGCGAGTAGTCTACGTTATGGGGTAGTATACTGGAGCTTCTTAAAACGTCACATATTGTTTCTCGACCGTATCGTTTGTACTGAGAAAAATACGGCTAAAAATAATGGTCAAAAAAAGCGTAATGCGTGACATGACTAGGCCCGTAAAATATATGTACGCGGAAAAAAGCTTTGCAGTCTTTTAAGTGGTTTAAATGGTAAGGGTAAGCTTAAGCCCCCGCCTCCGCGGATTCATATAATATTTTATCGCCGGAGTCACGCTGCTGATCCTGCATTGATTTAAGATGTATTTATCGTAATTTTTTTTCGATCGATTTTTACATGACGCACACGTGCCCGAGAGTCGTGATAATTTATTCATGGCAATGTGTGAAAACGAATAGATTCCAATTAAAATATGGTAATCGAGATGACATTTATGAACCGTGTCTGCCGGATGCTATGAACGCCAAATCGTTTCAGGCAAGACGCGCGCGCGAAGTAGCTCATCTCCTACGGAAAACCGGAAATTAATTGATACCATGAATGAAATATCATATGAACTGTGAGGTTCACGTAACAGAATCGGTTTTTCGTCGTGTTGGGTGCCCGCGTTTGGAAAATTGTAACCTAAAACGAACTTTTAGTAATACTGGGAATATCATCGCGATTTAGTCCCACCCACGTAATTACATTGATAAAAACTTCTTATCCACAACTCAATAGTAGTTACCATTTAAGATGTGAAGATTTCGCTATATTTGCATGTGTAATCTCGTATCTAAGGCAGTTGACGATGTATCAGAAAAAGGGAAAAAGGGAAATAAATAAAATTGTCTATATAAAAAATAAAAAAAAAAAAAAACAAAAAGTCTAATAATACTGCACTTAATTAGGCATTAATACAGAAGCATGATATTTCCAATAACATCCAAATATCTCATTGATATGTGGCACAACAATTAGAAGATTATAATAGTTGAGGAAAATAAATTTTCATAAGTGATTCTCCTCTACTCATCCTAGAAAATTTCCGATAATTATACTAAAATATCAAAAAAATACTAGTCATTAACGAAATCAAATACTCTGATTTCATTTTTGATAAGCCTTTTACTTTAGAATGTACAAAGTAAAAGAAAAATAGCTCATAGTATAATAGCTGCTAATAGCAGATTTTGCCTCTTCTACCTCATCTTTAAATCCAAATGCAACATTAAAATTAAAATATTTTACAATACAATGATTATACCTATCTGTTCGTATGGTATAAACATTTGGGGTTCAGCCAAACCGTCAAATATTTGTCCCATTCAGTCCTTCAAAAATATAGCTCTTCGCATTATTACACTGATACTTTAAGGTATATTAATAATTATTTACAACATAAAGTTTTGCAAATAAAAAATTTCACCAAATTCACTTAACTTCACTTAACTGTTACCAATTTCATGATATATTCAACTCAACATTAAACATCTTCATCCCAAATATAGCAATAGCAAACATCTCACAGGCTTGTATATGTTTGTGTATGTATGTGTTATGTGCATTGCTCACTATCTAAGCATATACATTTTCTCTTATACGTAAAGCCCGATTTATCATTGAGACGATATTCAACAGACACAAAACGAATGTTACGATGAGTTTTCGGATTTGAATATGCTCCTGAAAATTTGCCTTTTCTGAAACGAAAAGGGTATAGATATTAGAGTAATATAAAAGTTGACGCTATTTAATCTCGCCTTGGAACATAAAATTGTTTCAGACAGTTATGAAATACAAAGTAACGAGAATCTTTTATAATATATACGTGAAAAAAAAAACAGATATCCGTGTAAAACATCTGCTTTTTTTGCTTTTTTTAATGACTACGCGTAGTCCAAAAGTGCAACTGATAATCTAAACGCAAATAAAATGTGCGAAAATAAACAACTAGTTATAAGTATGAATTTTTTAATATGAAATATATCAATCTTGAAATCTTCACCCTTCTTGAAATATTTCAGTAAAAATTGAAATATACATTTAATTTTTTCAAAAAATGTTATCAAGAATCACTACGTATACATTTTTATGTATATATTATGTATAATCTTTCATTTTGAAGTAAATTGTTATCTGTTTAAATCAAATAAATATTATTTTATTTTAAAATTTGATTTGGTTTTCCATTGACTATTATAAATTGTAATGATAATACATAGATAGTAATAATACTTTAATTTTTAATTTATTTCAGACAATATACATTCTGTATCTTTGACACAACAAGAATATAGGATTAGAATGATATGAAGACAAAAATATACACAAAAGACACGATGGGAAAGAAAGGAGCTACTCATTGATGACAGTTTTATTAAAATAAAATTTCATCAATATTTTATAAAATATTTCGACACCACTTGCTTGCTATTCAAGCGTCTTGTGGGATTTCCAGGTATAGTAGGACTGAGGCCAAATCATTTTAATGAGATGATTTTTGCGAGTACCTAGTCATCCGATGGTGAAATCACACATCCGTTTTTGTTATACCCTGTCAACTTTTAACGTTAAATCCTTGCACCAACATTGTTGATCAAATGCTTCCGTCCTCCGAAAGCAACGTTTCGCACAACATTTACGTTATCGGCATCACTCCGAAACGTGGGGGGGAGAAAAATATAGAATCGATAGCGCGTGAAAAATCGGTTTTTCGAGGGCTCGATGGCGCACACTTGAAAATTCGTTTACGTATCCAACGGTCGTTTAGGTACGACAAAAAAAAAAAGCTACCAGTGGAGTACCGAAAATCGTATAATGTGTCGGTGAGAAGTTCACCTCTATCCCCAAGTAAGGGTACCACACGCGATACCTATCGGTTTTCTCCACTATCCCTTCTTTTCCCGTAAACGCACACGTAACGCGGTGAACGCGAAATGTACGATGTTATTGTTATGTACAACGTATTCGACGTCGTCATGCGGTTCGCTTACCCGACCATTATGGCTAGACACAAAGATATGGGCACGGTAACTTCTTGCATGTCATTGAAGCTTAACGAGGAACTTCCGTCGGTCGTGCCCTCGTCGTCGCTCTCCTCGCCCTCCGTCAGCACGCCGGTGTTCAGTTTGAAGTCCCGCATGTCCATCTGCGAAACGTACAACGGCGGTGAAAATGATACGGCGGATCGTTAGCGGGGTGGGGCGTTGGTATGAGGACGTGTTTATCGAAGGTGAAGGGTGGAAGGAGGCTCTGGTCGGGAACCCTTTGACGACTGCATCGTCTTCCCGTCCCGTCCGTGGGAGATGATAGAACACGCGTGTCGCGTACTACCGCTCTCTTTAGGCGGCAGTCGGCAATACAGGGGCGAAACGAGCACACGTCCCCCCTAAAACCGTTAAAGATTAAGTGTCGCAAGAAAAAAGGCAATACATCAACGTCATTTTTGATTTAGTATCGACAGTGGATATACACATTGCGTAACGTACATTGCCTCCGTCTCCGTCTAAAAAAAAATGTTTCGTTTTATGCACATTATAATATTGTTTCGTATCGGGTGTGCTGCGTTGTGGCGGCATACGTTTAATAACTAAGGCACGGCGTTTACTAGAAACCGAGTTATTTTTCATTCCAGTCCTTTCTACGATTCGGATTCGGACGTGTGTACGAAATTGAAGTTTTCTTATTATATCTATCATCTTCTTTTTCTCAGACACATTTCGTGGTGTGTATATTTTATTATTATTTTTTCGTGTTTTTAGAACGTAGACAAACCTACGAGTATTGAACGATGGCAATGGGGGAGGATGCTGAATCGATTCATTCGAAATTTAGTTTTTTTTTGTGTTACGACATACTCACGACCATTCTAAAACATAAATGCTATAAAATATATTTTTATTTAAATACCCAAACAATAAGCGACGTGTTTGTTTTAAGTTTTGTGTCCGGTATTTTAAGCCTTATAAGAAGCCGAATAATTGAATTATGATTCCTAAAGTGATTTCGAACGAAGCAAAAGGAATCGGTAAATGTTTTCCATTAAATTTGCGTAACCGAAAATATATTTTTAAATTAAATTAAAAAACATACACAAACCGAATGAAACGAATTTCTTAGCAGTTAAATGTCGGGGATAAAGCTCGTCGTAAAACTATATAAATTATTTTTAAGTTTTTTCTTTCTGGTCCATAGACACAAGAACCGGCCAGTACCTGAGTATATAGTAATACCATAGACGTACCTTCCATTGCTCCTTCCGCTGTATGACCAACATCCGCTTCCGGCGTTTCTTGCAGCCCCGACATAGACAACATTTTGCATAAATCCATTTAAAGCTCTTGGCCAGAATATCACCAATATTGGACAGGTACAACAGGAACAGCGGCATGCCCACGATAGCGTACAAAATAGTCGCCAACTTGCCCAGCAGCGTCCGTGGGGTCACATTACCATATCCTGCGAACACATGCGAATCAAGTCAAACTGTGTAGGTAATACAATATATATTTTATGGCTATTCTATAGGTTATAGTGGTAAAAAATAATTAAAGCAAAATCTCAAAATTTTTTTACGGCACAGTATGCTTCATAATTTAATATTTTTCTTCCAAACGCGAATTCATCGTGGTTTAGAATTTTCCATAAACACCTTCTCTCATCCCCTTGCCTTCTTATTAATTATGAATATGGTGCAGACACATTGACCTTTCCAATATCGAGATAAATAATAATTCCAAGACGTACTCAGAGGTGTTCATGTCTCTCGATGTTATATAATTTATTACCATTTTTCAATCGAAATTATTTATTTTGTTTTCACATAGGTAAAAAAAAATTACTGAATGTTTAATATTAACTTTACAAAACTTCAAAAAATAAAATCGTTTTTTTATTATGCCTTTTATTAATAACAATATATAATACGTATGTACATACATAAATATTTATAGTATAAGTATAATTTACAATATAATCAATGAGCATTGTTTTTCTAAAAACCCAAGTCTTTTCTAAGCTGCGGCGTCCAGTTGATATGACACTACTCTGACCTATATCATCTCATGATACCTTTCTGGGTACAATTTTGTTGTCCGATTGGATTTGAAACTAAAAATATTGTCCCGATACGACGTTTTTTTTTTTTTTTTTTTTTATTAAAATGCATTATATGGTTGCGGTTCGTAAACAACATCTCTATATTGCAAAAAATTGCGTATAAATTATATCAGTATATGATGATAGTTCGAGAAAAAAAAGGGGAGCGGGAAATTAAAGAACATTGCGTTTGCAATAATTACGGTAACGAATGACAATTAACACAGCGAAGACTGCATTCGAAAAAAAATGTCCGTTACGACTTGATTGAATTAGGCTAGACATAACGAAGCCCTTCTAATAAGGACGTTCCTACTGGGCATGGGGGGGGGGGGTGTAACCAAGACGTGCAAGGATCCGCAACCGTGATGAATTATCATCGTGCGACGTATGAGTGGGTTATTTTTTTTGCAAACAAATATTCTCATCAGGCATGCTACCGCGTTGTTTGATCGATTCAGTATAGTACTGCAGAGATAATAATAATATAATGGATACGCACTTCATTATGATAAATTAGATGGTATTTTCGTAATCTAATAAATCATCTTCTGGTTTGTCAAGATTAAAAACAAACAAAAAAAAAAAAAAAATGATTAATATATTTAATTTTCCAAGTGAAATGTAAAACATTCGTTTTCATATTCGTCCGACTCTTTATTTCGCTATCACCATAAACACTTATATCGACCCCGTGTCACTGACGGGTTTCTCTCACGTGAACAGTGATCATATTTATAAACATTCTCTTGCCCAGCTAAATCATTACACAATATCACGGATATTACGATGTGTTCGCAAAAAATATTATAATAAAAAATACAAAACGCGTCTCGATTTTATGTATGTGTACGACGTGTTGTAATGTGTATTTAAACGATCACAAAAGGAATAACACGTATAGGTATATACATAATATTTTATCCCATTGTGTTCGGCGTTTTTATTCGTTATTTGATTTAGGAGCCCGTCGCATACGCGTGCAGCGATACAAAGGATTTTCTATAAATCACAAAAAACCTACATAATACGTTTTCTATTATAACAATAAAAATATTATTATTATTATTATTATTATTATTATGATAATATTATTCTATTACCGTTATACATTTGTGCGTTTCGAAATTTTCTGCGAACCATTATTTGTTAAATACTATGGGTCACCAATTCTACGAAATAGATGCATATTATAATTCGGGTTTATAACCTATTAGTTAATAATAGTCTCGTGTCAGTCACCTTAGACTACTCTGTCAGTCTAGTAATTGATAATTTTAGAGATCGTATCAATGCGAACTGCAAGTTTTGGATTCATATTCATAAATATCGTAGAAATAGAAACGCGGTTTAACTAATGAGTTTATATAATATTGAATATGCAGTTTAGCTTATCACCACGTTAACTTATACATAATACAGTTGTCGTTTGGCCATCAAGTTCAGTATAATTATAGTTCACTGACTTGAATTTCAAGTAAGAAAACTGTCTAGTAGTGTGATTAAAAAAAAAAAAAATCAATGACGTACCCCGAATGTTTATATACGGGCCTGTTATTTGGTCATGTCATTTGCGTGATTGAGCTTACGATAATAATGATAGATCATTGCTTTGAAACAGTAACGGTTCCGGATCTAGAATTTAATCGTTTTTAATCGTTTTCCGTGCAGAGATTTTGAGGTTTGGAGATTATTATTACTTATTGCAAATCTCACGAAAAAAATATCAAAATAAATATCGTTTGGTTTAACTACGGTTTGGCCGTCGTCTTATCAAATTTAAACAACCATATCTGAGTAAATTCAAAAAACACGTATTCAAAATGTCTAGAACGGATCAGCATATTGCGTGTAGTGATTATTTTCTTGATTCCCAGTAATAATAATCGACTATCAAACCGTTTACAAAATACTAGTATCAAGTAAAAATATAATCGCCTAGAATGTTTATTACTATCTAAAAAACGTGAAGATGCATTAACGATTCGAAGAATAATTCAAGACCCAAGTGAAAATTAATGTATTACACTAATTATTACGATAATAACGTAGTACAAAATATCTTCAAGTGTTTGGGTCCGAACTTTAAGTTTTTATAAAATGCATAATGAAGTACTTGATTTTAAATTAAAAAAATATTAGAAAAAAATCCATAATGCTTAAAGAATATTTAATAGATACTGTCCCTGAGATAAATCAATGTCTCTACTTTCGGAATTTTAAACGTCGATAAAAACAATTGATTGCAAATATTCTACTGATTTCTTTAGTGTTTTGAAAAATTATATACATAAAGAACTTTTTTGTAAGAGACACGTTTTATTAAATCCCCATGTGGGATAAAAATCAAATTGCTCAGTATATTTAACAAAGTAAATCGTTTGGTTTGACGATGTACACGATAATTTCCAAGCCACACGATATAGGTTACTTTTATTCTTTATCTGGCTGAACGAAATACAATCTCTCTTCTCGTATTCAACCTTTTGTTGGTTTTACAGTCGAACATACACTTTATATTCTTCCCTCTTTTAAGTTAAGTTTTTTTAGTTCTGTTTAGCTTAATAATCTAGCATAAAATATCATTTGTTCGAAAAATGAAGTTCTTGGACATCCTCGGTCCCTCTTTCTTTCAATTTTAATTTCTATCACCTATTCTATAAACTATATCGTTTTCGTGTCACAATATCATTACTAATCATATTCTATCGTTTTAATTTGATGGTTTTGAGTATCTCTCTGTGTTAATTTATTTCACCGAGTACTCTGCCGTTGGTGCGGTATTCTATTTAACTCATCCAGCATCCTTCACCAACACCACATTTCAAAGCTTTCAAGGATTCGTTATCATGTCTTATTTAGTATCTAAGTTTCGCAGCCGTATAGTACCACACTCCATTTGTATACTTTTATGAAGCATTTATTCATCCTAATACTCATGCTTTTAGAACATAAACATTATTTCTTATTTATAAAATCTTACTTTTCCTATATGCTTCTGGATCATATTTCCATAATGCATCCGTCTTAGTAAATTTAGCTTCCTAGGTATATAAAATGTTCCAATTGTTTTATTAGAAAATTTCACTTTATATATTAATTGTAAGGATTCGATCGAATTTTCAGCTTATCATAATTTAAGTTTTTTACCAGTTGATAATCATATGATATTTTTGGAAACATCTCGCCATATTTTCTAGTGTTTTTTCGATATTGTACTCATTACTAGCTTGGAGCGTAATATCGTCAGACGATCTTAAAAAGGATAATATTTCTTCACCTAATTTTATTTTTGAGCAGTATTTCTCTAATTTATTTAATAGACAATTTAATATGAATATTAAAAAGAGTTTGTGAGAGTAAATATATTTTACTTACAGCCTTCCTAATTATGATTTTCTCTGTTTTATCAATTACTTTTATTTTAGTTGTTTGGTCGTTGTGTAAATTTTCTGTACATATTATTTTACATCTATGTATAGTCATAGTCAGATGGCACCTTATGGAAAACTTTTTCCAAATCTATTAAAGCTATAAAAGTGTCTTTACTATAATAATAGTATTTGTTTTTCTACCAACATTCTTAAATTTAGGATTGTCTCCTCAGTACTTTTATTCCTTCTGAACCCGATTGGTCGCTGCTTAGTTATTTATCTAAATATTTATTTAATAATTTCATTATTATTACAACGTAAACAGTTTTATTAAAGAAAAGGGTTAAGTGGATTCAAACGGCCCCGTAAACATGCGCCATCTTATGCCGGATTACCGTGCATGTACATTATAATAAAGAGCATCATCTGTTCCGAAATGTGAGATTGTGTCCGTTTCGCGATCATATTTCGTGCGCAAAAAAAAAAAAAAAAAAAAACGCGGTCCACGTTCTCTCAGTCCGTCTGATAAATTATCACGACGATGAACGGACCTCCGAGAAGTCGGCTTACGATACACTTTGGCGCAAATCTCGGGGTCGCAATAAGAGCAGTGAGCTTAACGGTCATCTCCTCACCACCTTTCCTCCCAACGTACCACCGGTACCGAAACAAAAACCTTGGACGCGTCGTTCTGTGCGCGAAACACAGACATCGTTTTATTGACAGTTATTCTTCTCGTTATGCGGTATCTTTGTTACTTCGTATACATAATTTATAATGCTATCGGACGGCGAAATCCGCAGTGTTTCGTGCCCGACCCAAAGCTAACGGAATACAAAATCAAGGTGACTGGTCTTTCATTAACATCATGTGTCTTATCGGATTCGTTTCAGGCCGTTGTGGTCGATCGTGGTCCTCCCTCTTCTGTGGTGCAGAGAGACGCGATATTTTCGAAAACAGTAGAAAAATCGTACACTGCCTAATGTA